TCTCGAGTGGCTTATAGCAGAAAAAGACGAGTCAGTATAGATTCCATTAAATACCCCATCTATAGGTGCCCCCCCAACTAAATAAGTTCATTCCGACGTTCCTACTCATCGTCAAGGATACGACCTGCTATACTTCCGAAAACGGGCACTTCAAATCTAAACCGTCAAGTTAGAAACCGAGTTTCGCACTGTAATATGGTACCTATCACAGCAGATGGACCAGAAACTCACCTGTCAAGAGTATCCGCGTCCCGGTACGCATGAAGCGCGAGGAACCCGATTAGAGCCAGATCTCCCAGCACGATGACCCAGCTGAGAAACGTCGACCAGGAGAACAGGAGATGGACGATGAACATGACAGTGAAGACCAGACTGGATTGCCACGCATGAAATCTGGCATCGTGGCATTAGCTTTGAACCTCAGGTGCTTAGATTTGAAGGACCCCGAGACCCTTCATTCTAACCTTTCCTCCGCTTCTCGTGTCGACACTGCGAGAGTCCTCCGATCTCAAAGAGAAAGCTTTCGAACCATACTCACCTAACATAATCACTTTTTCTCTCTAGGATCAGCAGTATGATGGCGCCGAGCGGCGGTATCCCAATATACGCAAGCACAGCTTCGTAGTCAAGCCGCAAGCCGAGACTGGTATCGAACTCGCTGACGAACCCTCCACCGCCTCCGCCCAGCCCAAATCCGCCTCCGCCCCCGCCTCCGCCTAAGCCCCCGCCTAAGCCATCCTCGGAAGCATATCCCGCGTGCCACGAGCGCTGCGGCTGCGGATGTTGAAGTGGCGGGGGAGAAGAGGCGACGAAGTTGCGCTGGGTAGGGCTGAAGGACTGCCGACGATCGAGCGACGCGCGCGGCGACGCAAAGCCTTCGGCCGCGGGCGGGGAGAACGGCCGGTTATTCTCGGGCGGCGAGCTCTGGTATGGCGCGAAATCCATCTCGATGGGCGGCGGCGGCGGCGGCGGCTCCTTGGCTCCTTGCGTTGGCTCTGCGGGTCTCGACCGCTGTCCGGGCGAGCGAGTGAGGGGCTTCGGCTTGAGCGTTGGTCTGATTCCGGATTTCGCTATCTGCTTCGTTGGCCCTCGTCGACGGATGTGATAGCAGGCGGAGCCACGAGTACTGATGACTTGCTGCACGTAGATGGGGAAAAGGCTTTGAAAGTTGAAAACTGTCACGGGTTCTCAGCTCCGAGGTCACGGATGCGACATGCATGAACGTAGCAAGCTGAGCATTGGCTTGGCGAAATTAAGTGGCCGCGGTAGTTGATCTGCAGGGTCCAATTTAGCGCATCCTTGCAGCGCACTTATAGTCATTGTTACGGAGTACAGCTGCACTGTTTTATAACCCCTACAATTATGCAGAGATCCCACCATTTATCAATATTTCCAGCTATAGGTAGATCGGAACCATACATGATGCGAGGCTACACACCGAAAAAAAAAAAAAAAAAAAAAAAAAAAAAGCAAAAAAACAGGCGCAAGTCAGTAACTAATTGCAGGATTGTTGGGAGGGGAAAAATTGGTGTCATTTTTATACCAGGCCTGCCTTTTCCCACGTTGTTCAGTCTTGTCTAGGTAGATACACCTTGATAGCTTTCGTAAGTTCATATACATTGTCTGCTCTAGATATACTGTTTTACATCGCTTTGTAGCACATACGGGTAAATAGTACACACTTCTAGGCGCTGGCCTCTTTCTCGGCCTCGCCCTCTTTCTTAGCCCCGTTGGATTCTTCTTCCAGCTGTGTCCGTCTGCCCTCGAGAGCCAGCCATAACCCCTTGCTGTGACTCTCCAAAGCTGTTGTAAGACCAAGGCCTGCATTCTGTAACAGAGAAACGAGCTGTGCCCGCAATCCATCCAGACCACCTTGGATGCCACCAACCCATTTAACTCCGTCAAGGTCGAATGCCTTGTCCTCTATTCTGCCTCCGACGAGGATGAGTTTCTGGAATCCGCTCTGGGCAATGGGGTCGTAGTATCCGGGATTCTTCTTCCGCGTAGGGGCAGGAAACGCCGGGGGTGACGGTGAGAGGACCTTAAGCACGGCTGCCAAGTGCGCCGGTGAGACTGAGGGGAAAGTGACGGCGGCAACGGGTCCTATAATTAAGGGGTTGATCTGGCCATAGGTGGACGACTCGTCCACAGTAGCGCTCTTGATCGACTCGTAGGCTGTCTTGGACAGGTCGTGCGTGTACGCGTTCGACCTTTCAACCTGGTCCTCTGGTTTGAAGTAGTCGACAATCTTGCAAGCGATGTTGAACATACGTGTGCGCAACACCTGCAACTCAATACTGGATGTGATATCGACGGGGACAGTGCCGTCAGGCCCAGCAACGGGTGCCGGAACCTCTGCCAGGGCGGCACGCAGCTCTCGCCGTACGGCAGCCCATTCCACGGCAGTGAGGTTATTGTGTTGGAAGAAGAGCATTAAAGGTGTTGACCGCAACATGGCCGTATATGAGCGGAGAAGCTGGGCCTTCCTCTCCTCGGGCCGCCGAGCACTTGGAGGTTGAGTCGGAGGGATATAGTCGTCGGGTAACCTTAGAGCGCCAAGGGGCACTGGAGAACTTGTTATTGCATAGTGCCTTGAAGCAGCCCTTGTCGCGTTCTGAACCGTGAGGGCTGGCACTCTGGCTGCGCTTGTCGTGGTTCGCTGCAGAGCTCGTCCTACGCTGCTGCGCGCAGAGCAATTGAGCCGCAGCGGCATTGCAGGCAATTCAACGAGCCAAAACTCAATTTGAATTTTCGAGCTTCCTCTACCTCGACCCTTGTGCCGTCGTCGTCGTCGTCGTCGTCGGTTTGGTGAACGTGATGAGCGTTGCGTTGGCTGCAGGCTAGACTAGCATCGGCCTTGTCGCAAAAAGCGGAAGTGAAAATAAGTGGGTCAGTAACTTGCTTCCCCAAGCACTGGTTCAGGTGCGGTCGGAGGTCGGAGGTCGGAGGTTTCGACAAAGACCCAGCAAATCTGCCGCATTCCACCGCCCTCAATAGATGACTGCCCGATAGTTAACCTTTGATAAAGCTCTTTGACGACCCCTGTCCCTGCTGCCCCTCCATCCATCCTGGAAGGACATGGCGGGGCAGCGAGACTACCAATAACAGCAACACCTTGCACTGTCGGGGCGGATGAGTCTGACATCCAAAGACTACGAGCCAATTGAGTTGTCTTGGATAGGTATAATTATGAATCTCTCTCGTCTCCTTCTCAACCCAGCTAATTCCGTACCAGTTCGGCGACAGCTCACCGGAAACTCTCTGAGAACATCCTCGCCGAACTCGGCATCTTTGACAACATGGCGGCTGCAACGCAAGACCAGAATGTCACAACCGACATTCGCTTTTTGCTTCAGCGTTTGTGGCCGGATCCTGAAAAGGAGAATGTAACAGCCAAGGAGATAGCTGAGGCCATCTCGCTGATCTTCGTCAATCAACTAAGCCCTGTTCAAACGGGCTCGCTCCTGACGGCTCTACATTTCACCGGCTGGGACCGTCGTGCTGATGTTTTGGCTGAAGCTGCAGCCGCCATGCGGCGCCATGCGGCCAAGATTGACTACCGGAGTTTGGAGAATGCCATAGCAAGCAAACGGCGGCCGGAAGGGAAATATTCGGGTGGATTGGTAGGTTTTCTTTGAAAGAAGATTAACGCAGGAGCTCAAAAACACCATGCTAATTTATCGTGTAGTGCGACATCGTTGGCACAGGAGGTGATTCTCACCAAACTTTCAACATCTCTACAACGTCTTCCATCCTCGGCTCGTCTCTGCTTCTCCTCGCCAAGCATGGAAACCGCGCATCAACCTCAAAATCTGGCTCTGCCGACTTGTTAATGAACATGCAACCAAAGCCTGCCCAACTTGCCCGTATTACGCCGGACACCATCTCTACTGTTTACCAGTCCACCAATTACGCATTTCTGTTCGCTCCTACCTTCCACCCGGGTATGAGGCATGTAGCTTCCATCCGTAAAGAGATAGGGTGGCGCACCATCTTCAATCTCTTGGGCCCTTTGAGTAATCCACTCAACAACGCTATCGAAGCACGTATGTTGGGAGTTGCGCGAGACGACCTAGGCTCCGTCTTTGCCGAGGCTTTGCGGTTAGCTGGCGCAAAGAAGGGGTTGGTAGTTTGCGGCCAAGAGCAACTCGACGAGATTTCATGCGCTGGCCCTACTCTCTGCTGGCATTTGGTTGAGGGTGGTAACGGTGTAGAGGTCGAGCATTTCTTGATCGAGCCCAAAGACTTTGGGTTGAGCGCACATCCGCTTAGCACTGTCTCTCCTGGCAAAGAACCTCATGAAAACGCAGAAATTCTGCGTAAGATCCTGCAGAATGAACTGCCCGACGACGATCCCATCCTCGAGTTTGTATTGATGAATACAGCGGCTCTATTTGTCGTCTCGGGCATCTGCGAAGCTGATACGAGTGACATGGGCCCTGGTGACAATGGAAAAGTTATCACGGAGAGAGGACCCGGTAACGGACGCTGGAAGGAGGGAGTCAGGAGAGCAAGGTGGACGATTAAAAGTGGTGAAGCTTGGAAACAATGGAGTGCCTTCACCGAAGTTACAAATAGTCTGCCCATATGATCCTAGTGAAATTGTAATACGGAAAATTGGAAGTCCATATTGATGAGTTGTGGGTGAGATTTAATAACGGGCGTTCAGCATGAAGAAATATACAAGCTAGGTAGTAATTTGGTACTTGTTCAATTTTCATCAGCTCGTGTCACATTAAACTCAGCTCTAGAACTGTATTGAATAATTTGTTTAGAGCTAGAGTATGAACTATGTATATCTCCTGCAGTACATTGACACTTGGTTCTGATGTGCACCTATACCTATCTATGTCCGTTTTTTTCGCGCAGAGACTCATCGTCATTCAAGACTTGCTCTGCTAGACACCATAGCTGCTCTAAAAGAAACCTTAACGGAGATGTTTCAAAAAACATTGTTAATTATAATAGAAGGCAAGCAAGCGGACAAAAAGAAAACATGACTCTCGATCGGGGAATCGAACCCCGGCCACCTGCGGCTTGCTCCAGAGTAAGACGAATTCACAAGATGAATCGAATTAGTCGGAGTGACAAGCAGGTATCCTGACCACTAGACCAATCGAGATTTTATTGTTTTGGCGGTGACTCGAACGTGATTTTGCCAGCGTTGTAATAAGGGCTATACCACTCGTGATTTAGCTTGGTGGAGCTAACTGACTACTTAACAGTAGTCGAGGTAGGTCGCTGCTCTTAATAGGTAGATTAAATGTGTGTCATCAGCTTTTTGCATATTTTGATTTAAATTTTGGTTTGCTTAGCGAGCATTGACGGTTAGACTGCGGGCTGCGGATGGAGAGTTAGGGACAGTCAAAATGTATTTTGAACCAGATGTGTTAAATAGAAAAATTCCATTCGACGTATCGATGTGGATCCGACTTTAAACCGTGTAGGGATTCTGTGTTATTTCCCTATATCCATTTAGAAGGGTATACATCATCAGTACGATGAATATTGAGGTGAATTTGGTGTAGTAGATGCAACTGATTCCTATCGATACATGACACAGATGATAGCATCCCACCAGTATTCACAGTTTTTTGTTCTGTTTAACGAGCACCTCTTCCTCTGAAACGCCGATAGCCCCTTCGACTAGACTGATCATCATTCTATCTAGACAGTACTCCGCGAACAGTTCCTTTCAGCGTCGGTTTTCCCTCAATGAGCTGTTCACCGATACCAGTATTGCCTCCGCTTCCCACGTCGAGCCATCGAGCCAGCAAGTCGTTACTTTCCTTAGGTTTGACTGAGTCATCACGTGTGCCCACAGTGATATGTGCCACCTTGTTGACACAAGTCCATATATCCTCTTGATCTAATAGCCGCACCACAATAGCCATAATGCGGTCGTCGAAGACGACACGCTCAAGCATAACCTCGCACTCCCCGACCTTATTATCTACAGACTGGCTCTCAGCTTCGAGAGTAGTGTAGCGCTGCCATAATTCGGGGTATTGTTTAGCACTAGCCTTGTGCATAAGCGTAACGTGAAAGAGAGGCTGGACGCGCCGTGTCTGCTGGAGCTGCTTGTAAAATCGCTGTGTTCCTGGATCAATGCCCTTGAAGGCCGACTCGAGTGCCACGTTGACTTCTTTTGCGGGAACCGAGATCGACATATACTCGAGCGACTTCTTCTTTTTAGGGTCATACGATTGTTGAGTCTCTTGTCGCTTTTGATCTCGTTTACTCGTACGATCAGGTATTTGATGTTTTATGCTCGGTGCGTAGTCCTCGATGGCATGCTTGACAGCCATATCCATATCTTCCGCACTTGGCATATTCGGAATCAGCAGCGGATATTTCTTGCGGAGCTCAGTGACTACTTTCTCAACATTCACGCGGCTACCCTGAGCAGGGTTGAGACCAATAACGGAATCGAAGCCATCATCGGGGCTGTTTTCCGGGTCACAAGGCTGGAATCTGTGTATGAAATTCTCCATAATACTAATGACCTTGTTCTCATCTGAAGCCGCTTGGATAGTCTGATGATTATCGCCACGTTTCAGCACGCGCTCCCTTGTAACTCTTCTTACTTCATCAATATCGCCATGAGCAAAATTCAGAGCTACGAGTCGGGCATTCTTGTGCTGCATTAGGACGTCTTTGATGATTTGCTCTCGCTCTCGACGTTCGGAGTTATTCCGGTCAGCAATAACGACGGGATGCTCCATTAAAGCAGACAGGACAGCCTGGACCATTCTTGCGGGACGACCCTTGCCCTGAATATTGTCGTTCTGGATAATACCCCAGCCGAATAGATGGGTCAACGCTATCCCAACAGTGGTTTTGCCGCATCCAATGGTGGCGATTGGTACGAGAACAACGTCGCCCGACACACTTGAGGTATCATTTCCAAATACATTCTCGAAGTTTGCGGCGTCGGAACCTTTTAGATTCTTATGCGCAAGAAAATCGTCCCGAAGAGAGATGATGCCGTGATTTTGGTTGTAAAGCTTAGCCAATTTCGGATCCTTGGCCAATCTTTGGCGAGCATACAGCAAGTACTCCTCGGTGATCTTGGTATGCTTCTTGAACTTGGGAGGCTTCCCAGCAATAAGGGCTTTAGTGCATTCTCGCCATTGCCGGTACATCAGGTATGGCTCTTCAAATTTGTACTTGAAGAACCAGTCGATGTACTTCGTTTGTCCCACTTCCGATGCCAGTCCACAGCGAATGACAAACCCCTCAACGTCTCGACCCTCGTGTGCACCAGACTCGGCAACCTCCTCCAAGAAATTCTTGACAGTGTCTATATCATCAAAGACTTGTAGCCCGACTTTTCGAAAACCCCACTCATCTGCGAATTGTTGCACAAGGCCGCTGGGATATGTCATGAACTCTGGGATGTTGACGTTGATGCCGTGAAGATACAAGCCAGCCTTATCCGGACCGTAAGCTAAAATGTGCTCCTCAAAGTCATCGTCACACAGTTCAGCAACTGCTGTGACGTTCCTACCCCGTAACTCTTGAGCAAACTCTTCTCTGGTTTTGCCAATGGTGGCCAGCTGTTTGTCTACCCATCTCTCACCAGCACTGGCATGGCTCACCTCAACATCACTCCGGTCTCCAGTTGAATGTTTGCTGCAAACGAGCAGGGTCCCATCTTCCAAGCCACTGATGAAAATAATACAGCCGTTTTCTTTCAAGGTGAGCTCGTATGGACCTCGCGTATTGCGCCTAATGTTTTCCCACGTCGTATCAGAAACCTCACCGACATTGAAGAATTTGTCATAGCCTCTCACGGCGATCTCGTGATTATTATGGCGATTCCTGGTGGTGAAAAGGCCGCGCGCATAGGTCGGTAGATTAGGTTTCTTGTAATCCCAGTCTTGAAAACGCCACGAGTCGACACTAAGGCCGTCTGGCGATCCGGTGATCTTGAAAGTCGTCTTCTTGACCTTAAACCCCCTATTTGCCTTGTTGGTTCCTTCGTTCAGAGAGCGAACGAGTTGGGAGGTCTGCTGGGGGTCCTGCTCACAGTGAGGAGCTTTAGAAAGATCCATGATGAGCTGGTGGTCGGGGTTAAAATCGAGAAAACCAACGGTTCCAGAAGGTGGTGATCTGGGTTGTGTGGCCAGGTAAGCGTGATGAACTCTCGACGCCCCAAAAGTGAGCCTACCAATCCGGGCTGTGACAGATGTAGAACAGAGAAGTAAGCTGTGTAGTAAAAAGTCAGCTGGCCAGTTGGAGAGACGGTAGGACAGATGAGATGGAATACAAAGACGGCTTTGATTTATATGAAGCCGGTTGGTAGCGCAAGGCGCACACCACACAACATAAAAGCAAAAGGATCACAACCTCTTGCGCAGGGAGGCGGGAGCTGCCCGCATGAGTCACTCGCACAATGACCTTACCCCTTCAGTTGCCGGGACTGGGACAGTCCATGTAGGCGGTAGTTATCCGTTTTCAAAGGAGTTGCAGAGACCAGGCTGAGGTAGAGAGTCACTTCCTTGAGATGGATCGACCTGGAATTACTTCGCCTTCAAAGATTCACAGCAGGAAAGTTGAAGTGACATTCCAATGTGATTGCTAGCCGCTTTTGGTGCGGCGCAATGTCTTCTAGCCTAATCCTAAGAAGGTAATACTTTGTTTAGAACAGCACTGTGATTCCTCGCTAGTCTGTTTGGCGGGGTAGCTTAGGTATCTTTTGACCATGCGTCACACCGCGAGCCCCTCCAAGAAAAAGTTCAGCTGGGTACCTATCTCCCTTCTATCCGACCTGATAGTCTCATCGGAAAGTGCCCAGATCTTACTGCTGATTACTTGAGGCCACCAGGATTTCTCAGAACCACCGCGATGCCTCCAAATCCGTTCCTTCTCGCCGCTGACAATAGTCCGGCTCTTCTGCCCCTCCTTCGCGAAAATCCAGCTCTAGCCAGCCAGCAAGATGAACACGGCTACTCTCTAATCCACGCTGCCGCCAGTTATAACCACTTGGACCTTCTACGTACCCTTGTTCAGGAGTTCAAGGTCGATGTTAACCTTCGCGACGAAGATGAGGAGACTGCCCTATTTGTTGTTGAGACAGTCGACGCTGCCAAAGTTCTTATCGAGGAACTGGGCGCTGAGGTCATGATTAAGGGATCTGATGGCTGCACTGCTCGCCAGAAGATTGCCGAAGAGGATGACTTTCCAGACGTTGCCGAGTATCTCAAGCTTAAAGAAGCAGAGCGGGCTCGGGATCTTTTGAATGGGGCTAATGGCGAGCCTGTACAAGATAGCAGAGACATACCACCCTTACCTGAAGGACTCAACTTTTCTATCAGCACCGTCAATCCAACCGAAAACGACGAGAGCGAAGTCGATCCTGAGTTCAGAAGAAGGATAGAAGAGCTGGCCCAGCGTGAAGACTTTCATAGCGAGGAGGGTCAAGCTGCGCTTAGAGAGCTTGTCCAAGATGCAATTACCGATGGAAACCTCGCTGATCGCAATGTCCGACCCCGTCAAGGCTGAGCGTGGCAAGAGATATCCTTTCGGTTACAGTCAAAAACCAGTTCTCGTGCTCATTCGTGCCCCCTGATCTCCCAGAGAACGTATTCCCCTGGGCTGCTTGGTGGCCTCACAATGGTACAATCAGCACCATACCCAATGGCAACTCGACTAAATGGCGTGGTGCTCAATGAAAACCATGCTTTTGGTGGAAGCGTTTTAATCAACTCCGCTAAAGTGCTTACGACCCAGTCCGGCGGAATGAATCCCTGCCAGCTGACCTTGCACAATCGAGCTTCTTCGTTCTCTGAGGGGTCGCCTGGTATGGTGTAGGTGGATAGATATGGGTCGATATTGTCGAGAAGCTTGACTCGAGGGCTTTCTAGACGAACAAGCGAGATCCATTCATAGATCTCTGTAGCATAATCATTCAGTTCTTGTCGGGTTTGGTCGACAAGGGCCGTCGAGGGAACACTCAACGGAGGAACCTTCATCACCAAATCTTGGACGAGTGCCGGGTTCGATATATATTTAGTCGGGTGATGTTGGGTTATAGGGTCTGGACTAGGTACTGGTACTCGTATTAGCGGTAGCTCTATGATCAGAGTTGAGCGAGGAGTTGGTACTTTTGGATAGATT